CTTCCTTTTGCCTACATCAGCGGTGGGAATTATGTTATAAGGCCTAACAACTTTTTATTTGATTCCTTGACTGAATCTCATTCAGCAAACGGAGATTTTGGAGAAAATGAGAACTTGACTTTTTCGTGGACCTGTAAAAGGTATTTATATTTACGAAAAACTGATTTATTTATAAATGAAAAGTATTTGTTACATTTTCAACAGTGAAATACTGTAATTTATCCATTGAATAAAAGTGATATCCTGTCACGGTGTGAAAGGATATCAAAATGGTATCCTGCCACAGTGTGAAAGAACATCAGAAGTGCGGGAAAACCCTCGATTTTCCTTCCCTTCACCAAGAGTGTTGTAAAAATACTCCTTAACCTGTTATAAGATAGAAAACGAGTACATAAACCATTCTGTCATAAAATAGAACTGCGAAAGTTCCCATATATGTTGCTGAAATTCATGTTTACAATGTTTTTCACTTAGCTTTGAAGTCTCAACCGCTCAACTATGACGTTATGTAGCCTAAGACTGCATTACAAAAAAGACATAGGCAAAGGGAAAATCAAAGAATATGTAATAAACAGAAATTTAAATGTTTTGTAGTTGAAATGAAATTTATTTAGGACCCCGCTTGGCGGGTGCCCTATAGTGATCAGTCTGTCCGTCCGTCCGTCCGAGATCTCTTGTCCGGAGCATATCTTCTCTCTCCTTGGCCCAATCTGGCTCATACTTCACCCACAGAGTGCCTTTGGGTAACCAGTGTGCAGTGACCTTGAACCCTGTTTCTATGTCAAAGGTCAAGGTCATAGCAGACTTATATGAAAAATCCTTGTCCGGCGTATATCTTCTCTCTCCTTGCCTCAATCTGGCTCATACTTCACCCACAGAGTACCTTTGAGTAACCAATATGCAGTGACCTTGAACCATGTTCTAGGTCAAAGGTCAAGGTCATAGCAGACTTATATGAAAAATCCTTGTCCGGAGCATATCTTCTCTCTCCTTGCCCTAATCTGGCCCATGCTCCACCCACAGATTGCCTTTGAGTAACCGGTGTGCAGTGACCTTGAACCATGTTTCCAGGTCAAAGGTCAAGGTCATAGCAGACATATGAAAAATCCTTGTCCGGAGCACATCGTCTCTCTTTTTGGTCCTATCTGGCTCATACTTCACTCACAGAATGTCACTGGTCAATGGATGTGCAGTGACTTTAATTGGTCGAAGTTTCTAGGTCATGGTCAGAATTAGCCTGTCTATCTTTGTTTGGTGCATAATTTCCCCCCTTAATTCCAGTAAATTTATATAACTGATGATACAAGATAACTTTGATATATATATATATATATATATATATATATATATATATATATATATATATATATATATATATATATATATATATATATATATATATATATATATATATATCTGTAAATTTGCAAAATCCGTGAAGTCGTACTAAATTACTTTCACTGTAGTACACAAATGTTCCTCTTCAAAATAAACCCTTTTAAACTTTCTTACATTTTCATGTTCTTTGATGGAAGTGGGGCCCTTTGAGAAGGCCACCATCTCAATGATATCTAGTTTCACTCGTGAGACAGGATTTTTTGATATTTTCACTCGTGCTTCGCACTCGTGAAAATATCCAAAAATCCTGTCCCACTCGTGAAATAAATTCCATATTCAACTACAAAACATTGAATATCCTCTATATACTTGCTGATCAAAAAGAAGTAACAATTATCATTACGTTCTACAGAATCCCTCCTGTGAATCTAAGAGGACCAACAATAATACTCAGCGACACGTCATCAGGCACGTGTTCTGTTAAAGAGGTATCACGTGGTGTTGGTCAGTTGACTTCTTCAATATCAGAGTCATCTGACTATGCTCTTACGGTAACTGTGAAGGAAGGATTCTCTCAAAAGCAATTCACACAAATTGCAAGATTCAAGGAAGAGGGATTGACTGATCTGCAGATTAAGTATTGCTATTAAGAATGCAATTATTATAGACAAGATTCTGTTTATTTAGTTTTTCATTCATTTTAAAGAAAGTTGATAAATTGTACAATTAATTTACTCAATTTTACAGCTGCAGCTTGAATTGTTACGACAAAGTTGCCGTATCATCTAAATTGGCTTTGATAGCTTGGTGCGCCTCCTGTAAACCAGAACACGAGGTTCAATATGTGTGGACACTGTGGAAGGACGAAAGTAGATCCGGAATGTTTCAACCGGTACAGGTTTTGCCTGTAGTCACCGGAATCGGTATATTTTATAATAAGGGTTTTAAATATTGATAATTTAATTTTTAAACATAAAAGTTATGCAAACTTAATCCGAAGAACAATATTATAAACATGTATGTTAATGTTGTAATTATTTGTATTTTTCTTTTATAAAAAGATGCCGGTAAACAAAGTTTTGTCTTACCAAAGTTCTCTTTAACACCTGGAAATACCTACCTGGTGACTTTATATACGACGGTGGTCAAATCAGATATAAGTGGGGACGTTTACAGAGAATTCAGAACTAACGCGCCACCTACTGGGGGTTCTTGTTCAGTTGAACAGAAAACAGGTAAAATATCCACTTTCTTTCAAACATATACATTGGAAAAATAATTGTAGTGGAACAGTTATTCAGAAAAAAATAATGCTACAAATGGTGCGTTTACTGTGATTTACATGTAAATTATCACATATGAACTCGATATATTAAACTTTAAAGAATTTGTTATAAGTACACTAAAATCTTAACAAGACATTGCAAAACTAGGAAAACTAGGAAAATGTTCGTATAAAGAAAATAAAATTTGAAGTTAAGATAGAGCTTTTTACAATCAGGCTTAATAAGTAGAGCTGCAATAAGAATTTTTTAAAAGATGTGAATGATTACTTCCTTATACATTAATAATATATACTTGTTAATGGAATATGCTACATTAAAATTCTCCCCGTTTTTTTTTTTTTTTTTTTTTGTTTTGTTTTTTTTTTTTTTTGTTTTTTTTTTGGCGATATTCTACATTGAGTAAAAATGCAAAGCATTTCTGTTAGTTTTGTGCGTCAATTATCGTCTGAATGAGGTTATGAATATACTGTACTACCCGAAAAAGTAAAATGATCATCTTTGAGAACATTCAGCTCTGATTTATTCTTTCAAGAGTTTAAAATTTGGAATTATTTTATTTTCCTATTATACATCTTATAGCTATGGTAACTAAGCACGAAAAAAATAATATACTAGTAATAAGAACCATTAAAAAATATCCTAAAAATATATATATAACGTATAGACTGTACATGATATATTACTAAGTTGAAAGAAATTGTAAAAAGTTTTTCCATAAAAGCTTCATTTATTTTCATTATAGACTCACTAGTTGTTCTTCTGAGCGTGCAGTGCTCAAATTGGATCGATACAGACGAGGATGAAAACGTGTTTACTTACCTTTACGAAACAGTTACAAAAAGAAACTTTACACACGGAGAGAACAACGTTGTAAATTTTATTTATGAAGGAAGTATGTAAACCTTTTATTGCATTTCTTTAGTTTTAAAACTGAAATAAATGGATTATCTTTAATTTGAAATGGAATTAGTTGAAAGATGTATGGTCCAAAAATGATATTTATCTAAACAATTTGCAGAAAGCACAGTTTATGTTATTTACTTTCTATGTGATTTTTAAACTTTTGATTAATTCAAAATGTTTAAGATATTATTTTAACAAAATGATGATCTAGCGAAATATAAAGTGGTACCTTTTGAATAGATATAACGAATTGTGCAGTTTTATCAAATTAACGCAGAGTGAAGCTCTCCTATTCAGTGAACTGAAAGGTGATGAACGCTTCTTGTAACTAAAAGGTGACAGAAAGCTTACTAAAAGGTGACTGAAAGCTTACTTAAAGGTGACTGAAAGCTTACTTAAAGGTGACAGAAAGCTTACTAAAAAGGGGACTGAAAGCTTACTTAAAGGTGACAGAAAGCTTACTAAAAGGTGACTGAAAGCTTACTTAAAGGTGACAGAAAGCTTACTAAAAGGTGACTAAAAGCTTACTTAAAGGTGACTGAATGGCAGGGTTTCATCTTAAAGTTCTTATATTCATAATTGATATCTTATAATACTTGTTGGTTGATATTTTTGCACGAACAACAACCATGATGCGATAGGTAAGTTATGATTAAGTTTTCAAAGAATCATTTTAGAAATTGCGCACCACTACCGCTGCAGTGCCTTCCACATAACTTTTAATCGTTTGGATGTTCTGACCAAAAGCCTTCCTCATTCGAACCCTAATGAATGTTGCATACTGAGTTTGAATCTGGGTTTTTTTTTCTGGTGGCAGAAGAGTCGAACCTATATTGTTTTTTGGGAAAACTCTATTGTGGTCCGAAAGAAAAATATATACACATTTTTGTACTTTTTGTGTTGTTTATAAGAAAACAATTCATATTTGTTACATAAAACTATGACTTAGCTAAAAAGCACAAAGAAATTTCTTCAATGCGATTCAAAGACTTCAATGACCGAGGTCCTGATTTTATCACCCCCTCCCTTAAAAATAGTCTTTGGCATGTCAACGACTGAAAAGGTACAGGGAAGACACATCAAATGGAATAATACTTTATTCTAATAACCTACCGGGAAAACCTAATTCGTAGCATACCTGATCGCATTAAAGTTGTTATTCGCTTAAAAGAATCTATTGTAACCTTTATTTAAGGCGAGAGTCGAATCCTAGACGTCCCCATACAGCCGGGAGATCCCGTTTTTAATCACACAGTTACCGTACGGGTTCGGATTTTCGATACCTCTGGAGATTATGGAACATATTCTTCAAATATAACAGTACTAACTTTATCTTATTGTTTCTTTTTTATCCTTTTTATATGACAAAATGTTTGTTTAGATCAATGGAATCCCCATTTTTGGACTGATATTAGTATTATACAAGTTATTGCTTTATTTCACAAGAATAATGTTTTACTTCTGCAGGTCATTCCGCCTTCTAGCTCTCAACCTGAAGATAAAGAAGACATTTCAACAATTGAGTCCTCGTTTAATAACTTTGATTCAAAGTTCAACAATTACAATCTATCAGGAAATGACGTTCAAACCTTGAGTTTCTTAGGAGCTGTTGCAACCGATTTCAAACAATTTCCGTTTGTACGTACAGCATACAGGTAAACTTCGGTATCTCGACATCGGATATGTCGACAACCTGGGATATGTCGACGTCCGTTCGCGGTCCCGGCATAATTTACTATATAAATGATTTGCAAAAACTCTGATATGTCGACCTCGGTAATGTCGACTACCCCGCTTATCTCGACGTATTTCACAGTCCCAAGAGCAAAATTTACCTGGTATATGTCGACATCGGGGCAATTTTCTCCTCTACTTAACCTAATTGTTTGTCAGCTGGTCGCTCGTCACGCACGGACAACTCCGTGTATCTCGACGTCGGCAGAAATTCACACCTTTTACACCCATGTTTTGACTACATACTGCTCGTTAGAAATGTGTTTTAAGAGGAATCCCAAGCCCCCTCGTCATCTCTAATACGTTAATTAAAATTGTTTAATGTTCAGCTTGGGTAATATCATTGATAAATCTTCTCGATTCTGCGTAAATGTAAAACCGTTTATTTATGTCGAAATCTAACAAAACTTAAACATTTTATAAAAAAAGGAACCGAATAACAATGAACAATATACACATCGAATTCAATTTAACTAAAAGATTTGGTAAATATGCATTCAACAGGAATCAATCAAATCTATACCGCATGCACGACTATTGCATAAGCCGTAATATGACTGCATGTGATGGTAAATGCGCAATTCCAATTAAATTTTGCTTTGAAAATAAAATGAAAGTTAATGATGAATGATTATGAAATAAAAAAGAAGTCAAATGAAATAATTTAAAAAAAATTATACGCATTAATTTTTTTTTCCGTATCTCGGAAGTCGACTTTGTACCGTTCCAGTTTGGAGTTTATAGAGCGCATTACGTATCCTGTTCTGACAGAGCTAGTTGCACGCGGATCGAATGCTAGATGGAAAACGGCTTTTAGTAAAATTATAACATTTGGATGAAAAAGAAAGCATTTCATAAATAACATTTGTGAATAACTTCTTACGTTTTCTAATAAATATAGAGGGATAGCTGAAACAAACGAGCTACAGTATAATTGAAGACAGTGTATGTACGTCTGTTCATGTCCATGGTTTTAGTATGAAGTAAAATTAAGGACGTCGAGTCTCAACTCTGATATCTCGACACCTCGGATATCTCGACATTTTCCGACTGTCCCGTCGATGTCGAGATAACGAAGTTTACCTGTACTTGATTTCATGACTTCTTACTTACCCAAATATACTTTGAAAATATGCTTAATACTTTGTGGAAATAAGTTTTCAAAGCAAATAATCACAAATTCAAGGTTTCTATTTCTATATTATTATTTTTTTTTTAAGATTGACAAAACAACATCTGAAGAAGAGGTAAACGGTGATATGGAGTCCATTAAAATCGATACATCCGGAGGGGGACCTGTGTTTCTTGTTTATCAACAGGTAGACCGTAATATCACAAAATACATGGACTTCAAATTGCTGTTTACCTTTACAATTCCTGACAAGCATGTTTTTTTTTCAAAAAAAAGAAAACTGTGAAGCTTCTTCAACTGATCAAAAGCGTTGTTGCTCCTGGCTGTGCAAATTCCATCGATAGATTCAAATTAACAGACATACAGCAGATCTTCAGCACCTTGGATGCTCTGACTCGCTTTAAACCGTATTTGTCTTTGGAGGGAGTGGTTTGTAGTATTGAAGTCGGAAAATTGTTAAACTTTAAAAATATCTAAAAAAAAATTATTTAAGTTGTCCGATAGCATCAATTTTTTTGTTTAAATGAGAGATAATTCATGAAATAAGCAAGTGCTATAATGTACAATTCAAAACTTTTTAAGTAAATATTAATAAACTCAATAAATCTACTTCAAACAGAACATAACGGTAGACATTGTGCACACTGTCATTGATTGTTTGGAATATGGTAGCAGAAGAAATCCTGTATCTCCGAGTGCAGTAGAAAGTTTAATAGACATTGCTAAAGGCAAGATTTTACACTTCTCAGACTTTGAAAACCTCCAATATTAAAACGCCTTTTTTACTCGTTGAACATGTTTAAAGTCTTGAATTTTCAAAGTTGTTCTAGTTAATTTTGCTACTAGTGGACTTTTGCGAGAAGCGCTGACTTTCACAATCTATGGCCTACCTTAACACTAAGACAATATACGGAAGCTCTTTTGCAATAAAAATATTAAGCTTAACATTTAATTAAAAGGTTATAATAATATCCTATTTCATAGCATACATATATCTGGCATGTACGTTGTCTAGGAAGGGATAGACAATAACTCTACCCTCAATTCCCATCCTTCACATGTACAGCTCGGCAAACGTTTGCCAAGTTTTCTTCCTGGAAAGTTCTTCCTTATTTTATTCTTTAGAAAGAAGATACTCTCTTTTACGGAAAAGGAATTTTAAATTATGTTATTCTGCCATACATCATATCATGTATTGATTGCATACCGGTAAATTATGCTATTGCCCCAAACACCACACCTAATAGAAAGGTTTTCAGATCATCTATTATCAGTTCCATAGCTTCCTACATGACACAGGTTTAAATGTCAAAGTAAGCCGTCGACTGTAAAAGGCAGTGCTTTTCGGAAATATTTCTCCATTTATTTTTTATTTTTTTAGCTTCTTGAAATTATTTATCTTATCTCAGATTAGACCATTTTTCAATTCCAGTTTCAGTTGCAGTTGTGCCAAACGTCATTGAGGGCTAATTATGAAAAATAAATTCATTAGATTTTAAAAAAGTATATAAAAAGAGAATTATTTCTTGTACAGAGAATATTTGTAATCCTTTTTTTAGCATTCTTAAATGGACGTTCGTTATTTTCTACAAACTTATTGATTTTAAAAAGTTTATGATAGTTTATCATCGTGTATTGGACAATGTCTTGAACAAGATGCTACCGAGGAAGCTTCAGAACTTGGATGTTGAACTTTCCGAAGATGATATAAGAGCGGAAATCATGTTACACCTCAAGTTCTTCCTACAAGAAACCAGCCTGTTAAAACAAAATCAAGGGAACGTAACTCTAGACTTTCAAAGCATTAATAGACAAGTTGATTTTATTTATCAAATACGAGCACATGAGCGCCAGTTTCAACTTCAGCAAAGACAAACGGTATGTTATTAATTATATAAGTAGAGATATCACAAAATTGCCTGTCCAAGGGTAGAGAAAAGTAATGTTTTCTAATTAATTTCATATAGAAATATTTAAAAAGTTAATTTTTATTGCTACCACTTGTTTGCCCTTTTTGATAGCTACAATATGAAAAAAAGAAATATATTTTTTCGTTCGAATTTACATTATATATTGTATCGTAAGAAAATCTTATTTCATAATTTTTTCAGGCAAGAAAATATATCCCAATTATAAAACGAATCCAATCAGTCTTTGTAAATGTCATGCACAAAACTATTGTTTTGGGCGAGCGACTTTACTGGAATGCAAACCATGTACTGGAAATAATGATCAGGAAGGTCTCGTTCAACGATCTTGAAGATGCCCCAGATGAGTTTTTTGGAGGTGTACATGATGTCAATGGCTCAAACAACCAAGCATCCTACCTGGAATTAGCAGTATGTTCTGACATTTCATATAATATTACATATATTTATTTATGCGTAAAATTTGATATCAACAATCTTTATTAATATAAAATATTAGTGTACATCTGGAATAGTTGAAGTGTAATTGAAAATAGGTTAAAAGGAAAGTAAGATAACTGAAAGAATAATTGCTATCTTTTGATATTAATATTATTTTTATTTAGGTGTCTAACTACTTAAGAAACCCCTACATATATGGAGAGAATGCAACCAAGGCAACCTCTTCTGTTCCAGTGATGAATATCCCCCAAAACATATCTGTGGACACCAATATTCCGAATAAAGGAAACCTGGAATTTAAGAGATATATTCCTCTCATCAATCCACAATATTCAGAACCTATGATTTATTTTACATTTGAGGTGATAAATAAAAGAGATGCTGTGCTTATCTACATTAAACCTGATGGATTTGACTTCTTGGGTCATCAGAAGGTTCCTTTGTACTCGTTTTATTTTAGCTCAGATACATTTCCAACATCTAATGTGTTTGATTACAAGAAGGTGTTGGGTGTCGAAGATTGGACAGGATATGGATTTAAAGTGTTCCTTCCCGGAGGTATATGTGTTAAAGAACTGTGTTATCTTGGCATAAAACCACTCACAGGTAATTGACGCGGTTACTGACATTAGAACAGTAGTCTTAAAATGAACTTCAGGTGTATTTTACACTACTCGCAAATAAACACAACGCATATTTAATGCTAAATTGAGGTATTTCATATAAACTTTTTTCTCTGTATTCTCAGACACTTAGAGAGGACTAATTCAAAGAACTGTAGATCACCAAATGTTTCTAGTTCCTTATTTTTGCGTTTGGTATTTCGAATTTATAAGCGAGACAAACTTTTCATGAATTCTGATTATTTTTTAATACTTGCATATTCTATGCTAAAAAAATATACACGGTAATGAAATTTTCGCAAAAAATATTTAAAAAAAAAGACACAAAAGAATAAGGCAAGCTATTTGTTGGAAAACGTTTTTAAAATGTTTTTATTAATCATAATATATATTTTGGTTTTCAGCCCCTGACACCGATGATTTTGCAAGATCTAGAAAAAAACGAGCCGCAGAATTTCTAACAACTATCGGACCACCAGATAACACAACATCGATTGTTAATGCTTCGGATTTTGTTCCAGCTGAGGCAAACTTTAGCATGCTATTTACAACAACAGGATGTAGAACTTGGGAAAAAGGAAACAACTCATGGACAATGGAAGGATGTCTGGTAGCAATTGTTCATTGTATTCATAATTCCTGTACCCCCCTCCTTGAAGGTGGGAGGGTATAAACATGTATATTGTGATCGGGATGTCCGTCCGTTCGTTTGTTCGTACATGCACAGAAAGATTTCTCGTATATATCTTTTTTGTATATTAAGGAATAATACTTACACTTTTACGTTAGGGTGAAATTTTAACAATCTTTTATTTAAAAAATATAAATCAAATAATATATACTTGTAATAGACCAATTGCCCCAGCTACTTTCGAATCGAGGATTTGCCTCATTTTCAAATACAAATTCGAGAGGGAGACTCCTCGTTTTGTTTACATTCTACGATTTTTTTCAAATTATTTCGAAGAAAATATCATTTAAAAGCCTTAAGGACAGACGAGACGTTCCTTAATAGTATATAAAATTTTTCAAGAGTTTGTCATTGAATTATTGCTACTTGAACATGTTTACTCACAAAAAATTAAGGTACCTTACCAGGCATTTCTGAAAGATACCAGGGGTAGTTTTTCTTATATAATCCCTTTGGAAAGAAAAATAATTTTCCAATTTGAAATGTTTAAGTGTTAAGATTTTAAAAGACGTTTAGAAATCAGAATGTTTTTAAAATTTTATATATTTTTCATACATTACGAAGATATACAGAACAGATGTGAAGGAACGTCTTGTCTGACCTTAAGTTATAAAGAAAACAAAGAGTATAATTATACATGGAAACATTTAAATTGCGCGTCCTTACGTAAAGTAAATTACTTAGTCTTGAAAGCAATACTCCACAACAAGACTGATATCACAAAAAGTGTCTTGAATCAAAAAAGGACATTGAAAATTTCCTTTCAAAACTATTTAAAATCATATGGTTATATTTCGTCAAAAGCTAGTAAATACATAGTATTAATCAATTTTATTCACATTATCAAAGTGAATTTGTTTTTCTAAATGTTTTATTAGATCTAGTTTAAACGTAGGATTTTTTTTCAGGTTCTGCCGATGAGTGATTTAAACAATACGGTCTGTCGGTGCGTTGGGGACACCATTTCAACTTCCTTCTATGTACCCCCTAACATGATCAATTTTCTGACAGTTTGGGGCAAATTTGACGCCTCCAATGCTGCAGTGTATGGCATACTGGCAGTAGTCTTTGTAATTTATATAATACTGCTTATTGTGCTTCGAAGAAAGGACAAAAAGGACTCTCATAGGGTAAAGATGTTTTATTAGTTTTATGTTAATTTGTATATGACAATTATAAAAATTGTAATTTTTTTTTATTTTTGTACAGGATACTACATCTAGTATGTTACAATGTAAACAATACTTTTAAAAACATTTACTTAGGGATTATACAAAAAAACCTTTTCAAGAAAAGAAATTTAAATACATGTACACTTCATAAACTAAATAAATATTTCAAGACTTTTTCAGCGGGTGGTAACATTCCTCTGCGACCATGACACAAGGCATACCTACTTCTATTTGATAAGTGTATACACTGGATTCCGGAGAGGAGCGGGTACCAAGTCTAATGTATATTTCATACTTACTGGTGATGTGAGTGATTCAGGAATTCGTCCCCTACATGACGGAATTCAAGAGGTAAAGTTTTTGTAACATTTTTTTAAAATATCATTTTAAAATGATATTTTAACTTTTGTCCCTTTTTTTTTATTAAACCTACATTTCTCTTAGATTTGACTCTTTTTTTGGCATGTATAGACAAAAGTCAGAGTTTGCTTAGTTACAGTTCTTCATAAACGACCTAAAACAACTTTAGCCAACTTCATACTGGTTAATTCTCATGGATAACTGTTTGTAAGGATAATTTTTTTTCTTTCAAAAAATAAAAGTCGACCGCGTGGAGCAGAAGGTAGAGCTGCTCTAGAGTCGAGACGTACGGAGTTGATCCTTACGTCGCGGGTTCGAATCCCACTATGGGACGTGGAGACAGATCCTTCGGATGAGACCGTATAAACCGACGTCCCGTGTCGCAGTAGGTGCTGGCACGATAAAGATCCCTCCCTGCTCAATGGCCCTAAGTGCTGAGTATAGGACAAAATTTGCAGCTATCAACCGGCAAGTGGTGGCGTCTCCATATGAGAGAAAAATTCTCGAGAGGGACGTTAAACAATATACAATCAATCAAAAAGTAAAACTTAGAAAATATAAAAGGTTATTTTGTCAGGCATCCAAATTTCCTGAAAATGAAACAGTTATATTTTTGAAATATATGATAATCGTTTTATTATTAAATGATTTTAAAAACCGTCAAAAATAGGTGATGAAATACCCGTAACTTAGGGGCCTCAAATACAAATTTCCACTAGTCAGAGTCACCTGGTACTGAAACATCATTGGTGTCATTGGTAAAATAGAACTTACTAGTTCCCGATTATTAATTTTTGCAATCAAGCCTATTTCGGAATTTTATTATCATGTTTTTTTCTTTCAAAACCATGCATAAAGTTTGAGTAGTGCTGCTAATACAACTGGGTTTTGATTATTTATCAAAATTACTAGAGACAATTTGTGTGCAGTATTTACCACAAAATATGTTTTCATTTACCTAATTTAAATATTTGCAACTCATGATTTCGTTTGATAGGGATTTTCGACATCAAGTGTCAACATGTACTTCTTTGGAACCAATGAACCGCTGGGAGATTTAAGATACATTCGGATATGGCATGATAATTCTGGACCTCGTGGCTTTAAAAGTTGGTTTTTGAGCAAAATTACAGTCGATGACTTGGAAAAGCAAGAAAGGTAACACATGAACATATATTTTCACGACGACTGCAAGGCAGGGCGAAATTTAAGGATCATTTAACAGTCTGTCCGTCTCTGTCTGTCATATCCTTTATTTTGATAACTGTAAGAGGAATTATTGGATGATTGAACAGGTACATGTATGGCTTTGCACTTAGCACTTTGGCTTTTTTCAAATATCAACGTCATTGACCTCCTATTCCTTAAACATGACCCATTACTTTCTCTTTCAAAGTGGCATATTGTGCCGATATACAGCATATTATTTATATTTAAGGGCCACTTGACCTTGACCTACTTTGCAAATATGAATCGGGATAGTTGAGGTATTTTTTATAATTTGCATTCATATCATATGTTTCTGATCACATGATACTTTGAAAATATATGCTATACAGTTACCACACAAACTAGAATTTAAATTACTATGATATATTGACTTCGGTTTACCAAAATGATTATTGCAGATTGACAATTGCAATTAAAAACAGGAAGAAAATACATACTTTTTGAGTAAGAAAGACAATTTTAAATTTATTGTGACTGATTGAAAACTACAGTATAAACTTTTCCCTGATTTACGAAGGTAATAAATATATGATAACAATAAATATTCTACGTCTTTTTTTTTTATTTCAGATATGTGTTCCATTGCAACAAGTTGTTAGGTATTGATGATGAAGATTGTTTATTGGATCGCATTATTCCAGTATCAACCCAAGACACAATTTCTTTTAACGATCGTATATCTGTGGAAACTCAAAGCTTAATGTCTGTTTATCATTTATGGCTTTCTTTGCTCTTTCGCCCACAAGGAAATTTCACACGTGTTCAAAGACTCTCATGCCTTTTTGCCTTAATCTGTCTTATCATGATATCAAATGCAATGTTCTTTCGATCGTCAGATGAAAACCAAAATGTCGATGAAGTGAAATTTGGAATTTTAAGACTATCATTTAGAACATTCTATGTTTCATGCGTTGGAATGCTAATCTCAACTGTACCTGTTACTTTTGCTGCCTTTGTATTTAGAAATACTAGAAACCCTAAATCAACCGAAAGCAGGATTGACAATCCAAAAAGAAACAGTTTTTATCCATTAAGAAATGAAACATACAAATCCTTTTCTAAACTTGATGGCGAGGTATTCATGCCACACCAAGGCACTTTACCACGTTGGGTGTGTTATATAGCATGGATTAGTGTTCTTTTGGCAATCCTTTCATCAAGCTTTTTCCTCATCCTCTACAGTATGGAATGGGGCAAAGCTAATTCAGAAGAATGGCTTTTATCACTTGCTCTTTCATTTTTGGAATCGTTCATAGTATTTGACCCAGTAAAAGTAATATTTTTTGCAATAGTTTATTCGACCTTTTTAAAAAGATTGGCAAGGGAAGAACCTCCCAAAGTAAATTTAGACAAACTACGGTTGATGTCAAAGGATAACGGATTCTGCAAGGACTCAAGAATTTCAGGTAGTTAGATGAATATACAATATATTTGTCATTGTATGTTTGAACAATGAAATCAATTAATCTAAGATTTATCTGTATTATAAGTCACGAAATCTGGGTTATTTTTAGGTCACCTGAGTGACTCAGGTGACCTATTGCAACTTGTTTCTTCCGTAATCGTCCGTCGTTCGTCATTCGTCGTCAATCGGTCGAAAACTTTTGAACACTATCAGCTTCTTCTTTAGAACCGCTGAACCAATTTCAATCAATTTTGGCAAATAGAATCTATGGGAAAAAGAGAAACAAATATTGTAAAATTCATTGCTCCTGTCCCCCCTGGGGAATGAGGGTTGAGCTAAAACTTTCAAAATTTATGCAGTCTTTAAAAATACTCTTCTTATCTCCTGGACATCAAGCAGTCAAACTGTTGGCATGATTGTATTGAAGAGCCTTTTACCAAAATTGGGCAATTCATGGCCCCAGAGTCTGGGGTTCTAGTGCTTGGGTGGGATTTGTTGTATATACAGCGAAAATGCATTATTTCTTTAAAAATCTCTTCCACTCCTGGGTATCAAGCCGATGAACTATGTACATAGTTATGATGAGGAAGGGTGCCTTTTCCAAAATTGTGAATTTCGTGGCCCCTGAGAAAGGTGTTCTGGTGTTAGGGCGGGGCTCTATTGATTATTTAGTGAAAATGCATCAATTCTTTGAAAATTTCCTCTGATCCTTGGCATTAAGCTACCTGTAATGAAATGTGTACCAAGGTATGATGAGGAAGGGTGCTTCTTTCAAAATTGTGAATTTTATGGCCCCTGGGTCAGGGGTTCTGGTGCTAGGGCGGGGCTATCAATAATGCATGAATTGTTTGAAAATCTCCTCTTCTAATCATGGTTATTCAAAAAATGATCTATGGGCATAGTTTTGATGAGGGTGACTCTTCTAAATATTAGGAATTCCATTGTCCCTGGGTCGGGGTTCTGGTGTAAGGGCGGGGCGCTAATGATTACATAGTGAAACTACATATTCTTTGAAAAATTTTCTCCTCTGCTCCTTGGTAATAAACCAATGAACTATGTTAATAATTATGATGAGGAAGGGTGCCTTTTCCAAAATTATGAATTTCATGGCCTCTGGATCACAGATTCTGGTTTTAGGGAGAGACTTTAATGATAAAATAAATTCTTTGAAAATCTCCTCTGCTCCTTGGTATTAAGCTGATGATCTAAGTATATACATGTAGTTATGATGAACAAGGAACCTCCTTCCAGAATTGTGAATTTCAAAGCCCCTGGGTCAGGGTATGGGGGGTCTAATGATTACAAACTGGAAATAAAAATGAATTAATGCTTTGAAATCTGCTCCTTGGTATTGGTGCTTTTTTCAAAATTGTGAAATGTGTGACCCCAGGGTCAGGGTTTCCCGGGGGGCACTAATGATTATTGCTGATTGTAACAGATTAATAAAAAAGCATTTTGTCTTTGTTCTCCTAATTTGCCTCTGGGTATTAAGTTTTCATACTTAAAAGCATGCTACGTGACGTACCAAATTCAATTGTTGGAAATTTATTACATGATACTCACGTGGCCGGTAAAGTACTTGGGCCTCTTGTTTGCACTGCATGGCTTGCTTAAGATAATTCCAGTAATTATAAATATACATTTTGCTTAACCCGACAAATTGAGTCTCAGACATATTTTTATTATATGTGAATCGTACATCAAACGATCGATAAAAAGATGATTAAAGCAAAGTTTTGATAAACTCAACAGCGCTGTAAAACCAACAGAAAATGCAAAATATAAGTGCTTAAAAAGCATTAACAAATATATTATTAGCTCAACTAAGCCGAAGGCTCAAGTGAACTTTTCTGATCAAAATTTGTCCGTTGTCTGTCGTCGTCGTCGTAAACTTTTCACATGTTCATCTTCTTCTACAAAACCACTGGGCCAATTTCAACCACACTTGCCACAATGTATCCTTGGGTAAAGGGGATTCAAGTTTCTTCAAATGAAGGGCCAGGCCCATCCAAGGGGAGATAATATGAATTAGTGAAAAATAAATGGCATATTTTAAAAATCTTCTCAAGAAAACAGAGCCAGGAAAGATGAAACTAAAGCGGTATTATCCTCAGGTAGTGTAATTTGTTCAAACCATGACCCCTAGGGGCAGGGTGGGGCCATAATGAGAGATCAAAGTTTAACATACGAATACATAGGAACAATCTTTTAAAATCTTCTTCTCAAGAACAACTGCTCCAGGGAAGATGAAACTCAAGCGGATGCATTCTCTGGTAATAAAGATTCAAGTTTTCATATAGAAACTTCCAAGTACTGAACTGATTCTTGCTTTTGCCTAGCTAGTTGCTCAGGAGAGCGATATGACCCTTGGGCCTCTTGTTATTATTGTCAAAGTTAAGGCCATGCGACTTATTTCGTGATACGTGCAAAAAACAATTTAGATTGGAGGATGCAAGGATAAGGAATACGTTTCTAACTACATCCCAATTTTTTGACTTGAGGCCATGATACATGTAGCAAATGTACGATTTTGTAGACGTGTAACAATATTTTAGTGTAGTCGCAGACAAAAATCACAATATATTTCAATGTTAGACGTAGCGCATAGTATTGAGGTTTGAAATTGCGTAATTTGTAACACTACAAACGACGGGCATTAGTATTTTTGGTCATTTTATCGTTTTGGCTACATAGATTTTTCTGCCAATTTTTCTGCCAATTTGTACTATGCTTCTATGATGTCCTGTGATGACGTCACACAAAATTCATTAATAAATTTCCAATTTACTGGCCGATTCTGACTGTTCGTAAAATTGGAAGCATTCCGTAATATGCTGTGATATTGACAAGTAATAAGAAAAGATAGAATAGTTGGTAAAGATTTTTTCTATATAACAGGTTATTTTCATAAAACTAAGTTGATAAATAAAATGTGCAAATCAAGAAGTAATCAAATGTTTCTTTAAAAAATTATAAGCAAGTAGTAGGATAGATAAATAGAGCGATTTTGATGTCTAGTCGGTTTTGTTACTACGACACAAATATGCATATGATAATATTTAACCGGGCGAATAGCATCAATGTGAGCTGTGTTCTCTATTTACTGGAAAAACTTGTAACAGACAGAATCTTATTTCAAAAATGTACAAATAAATATAATTTTGTATTTAAAGAAACACTGAAAAATAATACATTTTTAAGAAAACAGGAGCCACAATTGGATGTGTAGTATAATTTGTTACGCCGTTAAAATTTTGTACGATCTTTACGCTGAAACTACGTATGCAATAACTTTAGAAATGCATATTTTGACGTTACAAAATTAGCCCTAATTCTGTGCGCGACGTCTTAACCCTTGAGCTGATATAGGAGATACTAAATCTAATAGGATGCATTCCTACTTACGAATCGTGTTCAGATTTAAGTACAAGTACATGCACAAGTAAGGAACATTTAGCCATACATGCATGTTATCCTTTTGATGCATTTTCTTTTCTTTTTTGCGTGTTTGCCTTGCTTCCTGCTAAAAAGGCTGATATATATGTAAGACTCCAAGGTCCGATGATGACGCCAAAGTCCGATTGTCTCGCCAATCCCCGATGGTTCGCTGTCTTTACGGACTCCAAAGTCCGATGGCTCGTTTCCTATGAGACACGCTGCGCTAAAGTGCGATGGTCTGACACGCCCAAGTCCGATGGTGTGGAGAAACAATCGACGTTTATGACGTCACGATAATTTGACGTCAAATCTTGACGCCGTTTCCTGCATTCAAATGCTATTATTTCCGAATTTAACCTTGCATATGCTTTTATTTATTTTGCGCATTGCTAACATGTTTCGGTGTGATTAGGATTAGTCCTCGCAGACTACTCAACTGATTAGGGGTTAGTCCTTTTTAGGGTTAGTCCTCGCAAACTAGTCGAGTTATTAGAGTTATTACTTATCGCACCCACCCAAGATATCTAGACAGCTATATAGTTGTTAGGCCTACCCACTTTTTGGGCGACTAGGGTAAGTTTCGCACCTATATGAGAGATAAGGGTTAGTTTTCGCATAATTATTAATACTTATTTAAAATCTTGGCATGGTGCGGCATTGTAGTTTGGCGCATTAGTACTATGACGTTATAAACATTAATTGTTTTCAACACCATCGGATTTTGGCGTGTCAAACCATCGGGGTTTGGCGAAGACCATCGGACTTTGGCAAGACCATCGGACTTTGGAGTCCCATCGCACTTTAGAGACCTACATATATAACAACTTTAATCTGTTTTTTTTTTCAGTGTTTGATAATCATTTGACATTTGTTTATTCAGACTTAGCAACCAACATTTCACCAAGATGTGGAACATTTTCCAAGGAAGACATCGATGACTTGAAAAAGAAAAGTCGCGAAGAATCTCAAGCAAGATCAGCGCTGATTAGTCTTGTTATGTTCATCTTATACATTTGTGCAATCTATGGCATTGGGTTCACACAGCGCGACCAGCGATCTTTAAATGTGAAGCAAAACCTGGATAATTATTTACTTTCAGGAAGTCGTGGTTTTTCTGCAGTGAGTTTGTGAATCATGGTTTAAGTTAAATTGAATGTGTTTAACTACATCTCCTGTAATTTTGGTCTGTTTTCAAGAATGATTTGCTGAATCAATTCAGTTATACTAGAGACTTCTAAATTTTCTGCATTATTTTCATTTATCACTGGATGAAATGATCTTTTCTGATTTATATTTTTATAATTTTAATATTTTAGTTTGATATTTTATTGTTAGATTATTTAAGTCACTATCTGCAATTCAGTTGAAAGGTAGAAAGGACTTCATAAGATGGATGAATGACACATTTATCCCAACTTATTACCCCACTGAAAGTTATGCAGGTGAACCATTGACTGTTATGGATCGTCAATGGTTAAAAGATATGGTTAATATCCGTGTTGGGCCAGGGCGTCTACGCCAGGTTCGAATGAAAACTGGTAATAACTATGTTATGTATCATGTACCCTCTTTAAATTGTTAGCTAGAATAATTTTAAATTATCATATCACAAAACAGGTAGTGATTCGATAAAAATATACTAGCTAGAGTACTTATTAGGGGAGATCCGTCCAATTCTGGACACGGGGTAATTCCGGAAAAATAATACAGTCTTTCTTTTTTGTCTTATCTTTCGGTAATTCTGTATTATTGATTATAAATAAATGAAATACATTCGGAAAGCAGGGGTCATTGTTGTCTTTTTTAAAAACATTATAAGGATTCTAGGGTATTCTGAATGCTATAATTACGTCAAAAGTTAGACTTTGGACTTTTATGTTCTGAAATCCATTAGGCGGCAAAATGTGATCAAATTAAAGGCAGTTTGACATAGAATTAAAACAACATCTAAGATAAATACTTTTTTCCATTTATTATTTTAAAATTTCTTATGTAGAGAGCATATGTTTAAAAAGAAAAATATATGATGAATAATACAAAATAATGTTAATTTTTTCATTAAATTTTATCAAACAATGTGTTTCGATTTCCCCCACTGATTTTTTTCTAGGTGGGAGAATTCCGGACGCTGGTTTTATGGGTAGACAGACATCTCGGCCCAACGACAAATCGGCCCGTGACGGTTCACACCTAGGCCTGGACGGGTCGGACCAAACTTATTGACACATCGGCCCATATTAGAGACCCAAGAAAAAATTAGTCCAGTGTCTGAATTATTGTTTTCATTTAATTAATTACTCTTTCTGACGATTAAACAATTTTCTTGATAAAAATCAATTTGGGAAGGGGGAGGGTTCTATATCATTTCTATGCAAGTCCCTGAACCGCATCTCTCTTTCTCTCTCTCTCTCTCTCTTGAAAATGTGCAATATACATGCTAAGTAATGTAAAACAAGAATGCTTTGTCTAACAAAGTGTCATGTTGTTGGAATGCATTTTCTCACAAAAAAAAAATTGTTCAAAGCACATATTGCTCTCTTGTCCGGATTTACCCCGCCTCTGTCTGGAATTACCCCATGTTGTCCGGACGTGCACTATTTCACCACCCGAATTCATTTTATTATCAATAAAAGATATTGAACTGTGTTTCATGATGATATTCATTGCATTTTGTTGCCAAAAAGTGTTTCCATACTTTACCACTTGAAATCAGAGTGTGTTGAGTGTTTATTTTCGTTTGCTGGGTGTTACATATTAAAACATGACAAAAGTGTCCAGAATTGGACGGATCTCTCCTATGTCATGTTTGTTTAAAAGATACACTATATAAAGAGTACCTTATATGCATTATCCATGTATATTTTGTAGGCAAGTGTCCATATTTTTCCCTTACTTGGCCTTATCCGTGTGTAGACGCCTACTCCGAAAGGGATGAGGATAAAAGTTCCTATTGTCTACGATGGAAACCATACAATGACACCATATGTGGAAGCGAACTTTACAAAAAGAGATTCTACACGGCCCAGGCGTGGAAGTACGTGCACGCCAATGAGATTTGGGGAATATCTAGAATGGGGGAATATAAAACATACGGTGGAGGAGGATATATTCTACAGTTTGTGAAAGACCGAGTGAATGCTCACTTGTTGCTTAATGAACTTGTAGAAAATAACTGGATTGATCGAAATACTCGTGCAATTTTTGTTGAGTTTACAATATACAATTCAAATGTTAACCTCTTTGCATATGTCATGTACATAATGGAGTTTACTGAAGTAGGCAGTGCATTTATATGGACTGACACACAGGCTTTCAAACCTATCTTAAGTTTATCATCTCTGGGCTTCACCCTAGTGTTGTTCTACATGATTGTTTTCTTCTATTATATCATCCTACTCTTCAAAATACTTTTGCAATGTAGGAGAGTAGGTTGTTTGGGTTTTGTTAAAGAACCGTGGAATTGTGTGGACTGTCTGTGTACTATTCTTGCATATTCTTGTCTGTTAACCTTTATATTAAGGATGAAATACACGAATACGGCAATGGATATGTTTTATGACGACAAATTGACTGGCGCCAATCGGTTCATTAACTATGGACATATTGTGCTTTGGGATCACGCATTCAACGTCCTTTTTGCAACTCTTTTGTTTATATCAACAATACAGGTCCTGAGAATTCTAGGATACAATAAAAGATTTACTGAGGTCATATCGGTGATATCAAATGTTGGAAAAGATTTATTGGCCTTTGGTGCACTCTTGTTGATTTTATTTGTTTCATTTGTCATTTATGCCTATCTCCTTTTCGGCTCTAAACTGGAAAGCTACAGGTCGATGTATAATACATGTGCTAGTTTAGCCAATACTTTAATCGGTAAAAATAAGCTAGACCCTCTGATTATGGCAGCACCATTATCAGCTCAATTCTTTTACGTGTGTTACGTATTGTGTGTTATTATGTTTATGTTGACTGTCTTCATGGCAATCCTGAACACCAGTATTTCGGCAGTGAGAGTGGAAAGTGTTGCGTCAGCTGCAAAAATAGGAATATTAGACATCATGAAGAAATTTGTTAGAAATACACTTGAAGTTTTCTTCAGACCAAAAAAGAGCAAAAAATTACGTACGTTATTCTAACGTTTTTAAACAAAATTAAGCATAAGCAATATAGGTATAAAGCAAATAATTTATGATATTTAACAAATCTACGTCTCGCTGGTGTATTCGCTTTAAGCCTACTAAGTATTTGCATTTAATTTGTCCTTAAAACGTAAGTCTTACTGTGTTATGTTAAACCGTAACAACTGTTTCATGAAAAATATTTAAGACATTTTCAAAACGATTTAGTAAGTGGTGACATAATAGAAATACATTTATAAGAGGTGTTTTGTATTTTATTGTTCCACTACATTTTGCCAAAGATCAAACGGATTTCAATAGGCAATTAAGTTTGCATATACACCCGTGGGATCGATGGCGTAGTAAAATTAAATAGCAGTGTATGCTCATTTCTTCCTTTATTTTAAAAGTGAGAGAAGAACAGAAAACCAGTGATGACATTGATGCTGCAATTGTGATGAGACTTGTTCGTGATATTGTTTATACATTTGAAAATAAGGAAACTAAGGTAAACATTCATTCATGAAAGATATTGTCTAATTACTTATTTTATTATGATGTATAATGAGAATTTTCCAATATTATTGATTTCAATGTTAACATTAGTACTTCATATTATTTACAGCTTGTGGATAAAAAAATACTATGCAGAAAAGATCGACGTAACCTGCCAGTCCAACCACCTCTTTGAAATGAATAAGCAGAGCAACGTCGATTTCAAACGAGAATATATTACAGACGAAAAGGATAGCTCCTCAAAAACGTCCCCTCGAAACTTTTGAATCGAGTCTATCGTACTTCCTGGAGTCAAATGTGGGCATGGCAATACTAGTCTGTGACACAGAAGAAATCGAACTCTATACAGAAAGATAAGATACCTTGTGTATTTAGTGTATATGATTGTATTTTTGTCTTTGGGATTCTTTTTATTCAATATATTTTTTATCTAATATTCGTTCAACGAAATAAACATATTTGTGCACTGAAGGATAAACATCTATTTGTCGAAATATTTGACACCATAGCTCACTCATTAAAAATATTTTTTTACCTTAAAAGCAAACGAAAAGAGTATCTTAGAATCATTCAATATGTATAGATCTGTTTACAGTATTCTATCTGCATTGAAATCAGCTGTTCATGACATTTTAAAATTATATAAACAAGACGAGTTTGAATCTTTACTTAACTCCGAAGAATCTCATCAAATTAAGTGTATAAGGTAGAGAAACTCTTCGAATAACCATTGTAATTTGCTATTATTTTTCTCTTATCAGAGTCGTTTTTAAGCATGAATATCAAAATTCATTTTCTTTTTCTGAGAAATGGGCAATTTCTATATTAACTACTGTCTTGTGTATGGTTTTTGGAACGAAATTAAGCAATGAATTTTAGAAGAGTTCAGTTAGCTATTGTCCTTTTTAAAAGTTGTTCAGTTATTGGAATGTTTGATCATTTACACTCTAATTTTCTTTATGTTCTAGTCTAAATTTTTCTAAGTTTACTTTTAAAAAAAATTACAAATGAAAACGCTTTACCAAAATTTAATAAACGAATCCATAATCGTGTCAATTGGTAGAGGTATAAGTTAAAAGTTAACTTTAAAGCAAACCTTCGTAAAATCCCTGTCAGCATATATGTGTAGTCAACTCTTAGTCATTCTTCAAACAAAAAGTGCTTGTGAGTAAATTGTGTACAAAAGCCGTCAGCTAAGTTTCTTAGTCATACAAGAATTTTAATTTAGTCAAAATTCAAAATCAAATTAAAACATTAATTCTTGTTAAAAGAATATATACTAACGGAAAAAAGAAACTGTGCATTTTATTTATTATGAAAAAATTTATAAAAAATAACAATGAACAAATTTCATTTTTGTAATACTGATAACAAATGTATTCGTTACAACATCTCCTAATCCATAAATGTTAACGTTAACTAACGTCAATTTCAGCATACTGGAAAGACACTGGTATTCAAACTTGAATTAACAAAGTTAATAACGCGTGTGACCACCATTTGCATTCACACATGCTTGATATCGACGCCTCATTAATGCAACTAAAGTGTTCAGATATGCTTAAGGGATGTTGTTCCAGATGTTGGTTAAGGCCTGGCCTAAATCAGCCAACGTCATTGGCTGATTTTGCAAACGGCGTAGACGTCGTTGCATTTCATGCCAAACGTGCTCGATAGGGGATAAATCGGGAGGAACAGCTGGCCAAGGCAAGACATCGACATTCTGTTGAACAAAAACATCCCTGACTACACATGCAGCATGTGGCCTTGCGTTATCTTGCTGAAGAGTGATGTGATTTTGTTGTCTATGTATGAAGGGTATCACATATCGCTGAATAATTTCATCTTCATAGCGTACTCCGATGAGATTTCCATTGACAGTTTTTAGAGGGGTCCTTCCACGTGCTGTGATTCCACCCCAAATCATAACGCTACCTCCACCGAATTGTCGCCGTTGCACAACACAAGCGTCCTGGTTCCGCTCCCCTGTGCGACGATACACTCTGCAACGGCTGACACTGCTATCCAAATGAAATCTGGATTCATCAGTGAACAGGATATTGGCCCAATCCTGCATTCTAAATCGTAGATCTTGCCTGCACCACGCTAGTCTAGCAGTACGATGACGTTGAAGCAGTATTGGGCGCACAGCTGGACGTCTTGGTCTGATGTTGCGCTCGCGCAGACGATTTCGCACAGTTCTTGGACTGATTGGTCGAAGTCATGGAATGCTTCGAGCAGTCAAACATGCAGTGTGGAAACGATTTCTCAGGTGCACAAGTCTAATGTGGTTGTCCTGTCGACACGACGTCACACGTGGACGCCCAGAACGTGGTCGATCCCGAGTATAACCAGATTGTTGAAAACGTCTCCATAATGACTGGATGGTGTTTCGATGAACTCCAAAGTGTCCTGCTACGATATTTTGCGCCATTCCTGCTTGAAGCATTCCAACAGCAATATTACGTTGGTTTTCGCTGAGTCCTGGCATGACAGAATAGTAAATTTGGTCAAAACTAAAGTACTTTCCTTAACGAACTGAGTCCAAATAAACGTTATACAGTTATTTCTCCAAATATTTTTGCCAGTAAAACTCATGCGTACGAAAACGTCAATAAACAACATGTGCTCACTAACCATGAAAAGTCCGTGCAACTGAGTCGGGTCTATCGATATTGTTAAAAAAAAATCACCTTAATCGGTTGTTTACATTGTATTAATATAAACAATAAATATGTAAATTTTTTACTAAATCTTATAATGCACAGTTTCTTTTTTCCGCTAGTATATTTTTGTTTTTAATTGGATCTTTTTTATTTTTAGTTTTAACCAAGTCAAAGATAATATTTTTACGGAGAGAAATGAAAAATATGTTTAATGCATATTTCTTTTTCTTGCGTGGAGGTAAAATCTTATAAGTACCAAACTAGTCTTCTCAAAACATAGTCCTTCTACAATCTATCTTTGTGTTTTTACTTTACTAAAAGTACGTATGGTCATCATGTCATTTTGAATTTTAATCATCCTTTCATTCGTCTGCCATATAAAAAAATAAAATATGATGTGAGTGATAAAGAGTTTTAAAAAATTTAAAAATGCACAATAAACGTTTTGAATAGAAACTTTTTAAAAAGGCTCTATTTTCGTGCTTTATCTTGTAAAGTGAGATTCACGCTGGTTTTGATATAAAGAAACAGTTTTCATTTCTTTATTGCTTATTGTGCGATAGATTTTTATATTTTTGTACGAATAATTCATTTTCAGATTTAGTTACGATTGGTGTTGTATTGATTGCACTTTAAACTTTCCTTAATAAACTTTAGAGGACGGAATTAAAGGAATTATTTGCTTTATATTTACATTTCAACACTTTAAGGTTTCAACAAAAGTCAACATGCCAAAAAAAAATTATTTTTTACAATAGCTCCAAAACTATGCGGTTTATAAAGTTAAAACTTTTGCAGTTTATCAATATATCATTCATTAACAGATAGAAAGTATCACTTGATAAAATAAATGAAAAAATAATTTTTTGGATATGCTGACTTGTTAAATGCTATGGTCCCTCGTACATGTAGATATTATTAAAAGTCTCCAAATAATTTCCATTTGTAATGCTTTGATCAGCTGCTTAAAGCTTGTATGATTTAGTGACCTTTCACAGTTAACATGAGACGGATATTTTCAATTTGTATTACGCATTAATGTAATTTTTATATATGGAAATGTTTGCTCAATAGAACCTTACATATTGGTCTTGAATATTTTTAAGGGTATTGCCGTGGTTACTAAAAGTATATTTTGTTTCATTTTTTTCCCAAAAAACCATTTATTCAATATTTTGGACATGCCATTAAATTTGGTGTTAATTATTTTAGCGGGCAAAGGATTCCAACACTTTTTGAGTACAATCTATTTTCAAAAACTAACCTTTACATAAAAAGAAGTCTTTTGTCGTGGCCTTCATTTCGACATATTAACTTTTCTATTGTCAACTTCCTTTACTTATGTAGAAATATACATTCATCACCTGCATACGGAGTTTACATACCTCAGTTGATTTGATTCGCAAGAGAATGCTCTACGTATGAACAATTTCTAAAACGAGGTAAATTATTAAGAAACAAGTTGATTAAACAAGAATATCAGCAGTCTCGTTTAAAGTCATCATTTCGCAAGTTCTATGGTCGATACAATGACCTTGTCAGAAGATGCAATTTTTCATTGAGTCAAATGCTGAAAAACGCTTTTATACTATTTATTGTCCATTATTTATATACTGAATTGACAACAGATTTCCCGATCACGACAAGGAGCACACGGCGGGCGGGTGTGACCGGTGGGCGGCAGGGGATGCTCACTCCTGTATGGCACTTGATCCCACCTCCGATATCTATGAGGTCCGTGCTTGCTCTGCTCCTATTTTGTATTGTTTTATGGACTTTTGATCTTGAATACTGTTCGTTATGTCCATCTGTTTCATTTCATGAGACATAGGTTACCACTGAATGGTACACGTATCAAACTGAAAACTGTGAAAACAAAACAATTAAGTAATCAATCTTTTATTAGTGACAACTTTATAACGAAATCAATAAGACACAAAAATTAATTTTTAGCAATAAAAAAAATTCAACATTTGAACATTAAAAAATGAGTTTAATAGAAGAAAAATGGTGTCCAATTTTTCTTTGTCAATCATTTAAAAAAACTTAAATTCAAATTCGGATAAATTTAAAAGCACGTCTAATCATAAAATATATACAAAAATGCATTTCACGATACTCTTAACTAATCAAATTTAAAAAAAAGACATTTTAATTAGAAAGGTAAATGGATTTAGCCTGCTTAATTAAATTAAAATATCATCATGCTATGTTATTCCTACAAATCGGCACAATAAATGGAAAAAATTCACAAAAGACGATAGTCAAATGTTTTCCTGTTAAAAACAGTTTCATTGAAATTTGGTATTATTCTTAAAGTCTGCTCTGTTTTGTGTAAAGTTTTACTATTAAAGAATGAAAAATGCAACTTCTGACTTGGAACTTATACTTAAAATACTTGGGATACAGAGAGCAATGAGCTTACGGAAAGATATCCCCCGCACTCAAATGAGTACACATGTATTCTGTAGGGAAACCCCCAAGACGTGAAAAATGAGTGATGCACATTAACAATATGTAGCAAAGATTCTGCAAAATCATTAAAATTTTATGCAGTGTTACATTGAATAATAAATTATGCAAATAAGATCTGGTAGCCCATGTATTATAGAAAAAATTGCAGTGTCTACATATGTTTTGCTATGGAACATCCTAAATATTTGTCTCATTAAAAGTTAAAATAAAAGTTGCACATTGAAATTATGCTGTAAGGATTAAATTTTATTCTGAGATGTAGAAAGTGTAGCGGACAAGACATTTTAACCCGAATATTTCGGAAAGATTTGCCTTGTCCATATTTTGCAAAGAGAAA